CTTAACAATTGTCGATAAGAAAGACAAAAAAGTCTGGATAGTGGACGTGGCAGTGCCTGGAGACAGCAGAATAGACGAGAAAGAACTGGAGAAGATAACAAAATACAGAGACCTACAAATAGAAATAGAAAGACTGTGGCAAAAGCAAGCAAAAGTAGTACCAATAGTAATAGGCACCTTAGGTGCAATTCCAAAACAAGTGGAGCACCACTTGAACACCATTGGCATTGACAAATTCGCTATTAGTCAATTGCAAAAGGCGGCCTTACTAGGAACCGCTTCCATCCTGCGACGAGATCTGTAATACCATCAAACCTCCACATCTGCCTATCCCAGGTCCTGGGAAAGTACTCGATAGGTAGACAAAATGCCAAATCCAGTCTGAACATCTGGCTGACTGTGCAATGATCCATAATAATAATAATAATAATAATAATAATAATAATAATAATAATAATAATAATAATAATAATAATAATAATAATAATAATAATAATAATAATAATAATGTGCTTTCCTAAGAAGAAACTAGACCGCCATTTGTCTGGAAGGGTGTAGGGCAGGGGTGTCAAACTCGCCACACCACGTGACAGGTCGTGACATATCGCGACTTTTTCCCCATTGCTGGAGCTGGGGTGGGCGTGACTTCCATGTGACGCATCAGGCCCGCGGGCCGGCAGTTTGACACCCCTGGTGTAGGGTCTCCTGCCTTGAGCAAGGGGTTGGACTAGAAGACCTTTGAGGTCCCTTCCAGCCCAATGATTCCATGACTGAGCAAAGGGTTGGGCTAGAAGACCTCCAAGGTCCCTTCCTGCACTATAATTCTGTGATTGAGCAGGGGGTCAGACTAGAAGACCTCCGAGGTCCCTTCCCAGCCCTAGGAGGCTATGATTCTAAGCCTAATGCTCGGGAACAGTGAACCACGAAGACACACGCCAAAATCCCATTGACCCTACATGATCCCTTTTCCCTTCCAAGCCAGAGACTTAACCACCACAACTCCCAGCAGTGTGTCTTCCTTTCATGTCAGATTTAATTCTGCATCTTTCATGAAGCTCATTTCTGGAATTTATTCTGAGAAGATTTCCGAGAGGAGATCTCGAGAGAAATCTCCGCTGAGCAAATCCACCAAGCTTGCCCGAGACCCCTTGTTAGTCAGAAGCGAAGGGGAAGCATTAACAATGCAAGGCAGAAGAAGTTACGCGGGGCCTTCTCGGCTTAAATAAAACATAGATTTAAAACAAAACCAATTGCCAAATTAATGAGTGCTGCTGTTTAATATACCAAACTGCCCGAGCGACATTTTCTTCTTCTTCTTCTTCTTCTTCTTCTTCTTCTTCTTCTTCTTCTTCTTCTTCTTCTT